TATATATATATATATATATATATATATATTTTAATATATATTACATATTTTATCTACCTTATATTCTAAATTTTCATTCTAATAAGCATATTATTTTTTAATTTTATATTAAATATTTATCATTATATTATATTTAAATAGTAGTTCATCAGGTATTAAAGAATATATTATAAAACAATACTTTTTCCAGTTTTTAATTAAAGAAATATTTATAAATATAAATAATAACATATAGTGTTTTTTCAGGTTATATATTCAAATTAATAAAATTTTTTTATAAAATTGGTATAATATTTGTTTAATTATAAATATATAAAAATTATTAAATTTATAATATTATTAAAAATATTAAATATATATATTTATATATATATATATAAATAATTAATATAATATCATATATTTAAAAGATAATTAATATTAATTTACATATTTTATTTTTTCCATTTTATTGAAATATAATAGTTTTTTTTCTTAAGATATAATTATTATTATAAATAATAATTATAGTGTTTTTTTATTGTTTTCTTTAATTTTATTTAAGATTAATTCATAATATTATGAACAAAAATTAAAACTAAACTATCTAATTTTTTAAGATTTAATAATAAAAAAATTTATTTAATGTTTTCATTCATTAAACTATATTTATTTTAAAATATATAACATAAAAATTTAAAAAAAAAAGCGAAGAAGCTCAAAAAGCGATTTTTTAACGATAAACTAAAAATTATTTATAAAGATAATTTAAAAAAAATAAGAATGATATTTTAAATAATTATTCATATTAAATTATTTATAACCTCTAAAATTAATAAATTTTAATTAAAATATAAAACAAAATTTAGAAAAAATTTTGAATATAAACAAATATTAATTAAAAATAAAATAAAATAAAAAAAAATTTATAAAATGAATAAAAAATATATTAAATTATAAAAAAATAATAACATTAAATGTATTATACAATAAATAATAAATATATATAAAAAAAATAGTAAATAATTAAAAATAAGTATATATAGTATTAATTATATTTTTAATAATATATAAAAATATTAATATATATAAATTTTATATAAATATATTTTTATATTTTATAATTAATTTTTTATTTTTTTAAAAACACAATAATATTAATAAAAATAATAATAATAATAATAATAATAATAATAATAATAATAATAAAAAAAATATTAATAATAATAATAATAATTATAATAATAATATAAAATTTATATATTTTTAATTATAATTATTATATAATAATAATATTATTATTTTATAGACTATTATATTATTATTAAATTTTATATATATATATAAAATACTTATTAAATGTTTTTTTATATTTTTTTATTTTTATTTTATATTTATTTTTATTTATAAAATAATTATATTTATTTAATAATAGTAAAAAAAACATTAATTTTTAGTTTTTTTATATTATAAATCATATAATATTATTATTTATAATTTTTATGAAATAATTCATTAATTATTTTAAATTGAAGTAAAAACATATAAATATATATATATATATATAAATATATATATATATATTTATTATACTTCTCTTTCGATTTGTATTTAATAAAAATTTTTATTTTATATAAAAAAATATATATATTATTATTTTAAAAATGTAATTTAAGTTTTAAATTTTTAAATATAAAATTTTAATAAAACATTTAAATTAAAAAAAATATCTTTTATTTTAAAATTTAAAATATATTATATAAAAATTTAATTCTTATAATATACAAATTTATTACCAATATAATTAGTTTTGAATCTTAATATAAAAAAAAATCTAAATGAAAAAACACATTTACATTTTATAAAAAAATTACATAAAATAAACATCACCATTAAAACGGTATTTTTTCTTTTAAATATTTAATTCCATATTCATTCGACTTATCTTTTTTATCTTTCTCTTCTTTTTTTTATTAATTATTAACATTTTATAAATCTGTTCCACTAACATCACCTTCTTCATCTGAATCGTCATCAAAATTATCAAAACATCCCAACCATCTATTTTATTTAATCCATTAATCTTTCATTGAATCTAATCTGGGTATAACAGTACCCCCAATCCACGATAAATTGCATAAATTGATTTCTTTTTTGAGAAGAGCGTCAATTACCTCAACTCTTTCAATATTCGGATCAAAATAAGCTATTCTTTCTATAAGTTTGTCCTCTAGTTATTCCGCCATATTTTACATAGAATTACCTCCGCCTATAATAAATATATGATTTGCTAGTTTTTTTCTTAGTTCTGAGTCTTTTACATTTGCAATTGACTATGATATTATATCTTCTAAATTTACCATTAAATAAGGATCCAAAAGTTCCTCTTATTTCAATTTATAAGTATTTTATTATAATTATTATATATATTATTATTATTATAAGATTTCTTATTTTTTTATTCGTCATCTATTTAAATATCTTTTTTAGGCTCTTCTTTTTTTAATCATCTTTTTTTATTAATTCTAATATACTAGAACCTGCTAAATATGGAACTATGAAATTTTTAACTGATGACCATACATTACCACCTGAAAAAAAAAAATAACAAAAAATATATACGAAATAAATATATATCTTATCATATTTAAATATATATAATTATTAAAAATAAAAGAATATATAAATATAATTTTTTTATATATATATATATATTTTTATTTATTTATTCTTATATATTTGTATATATATACCTATAACATCTTCTAGATTATCCTCAGGATCTTCATTATAATCAAAATATTTAGACGTATAATCGTAGTGATCAAAATTGAGATTTTTGTAATTATTTTATGTATTTTTTTATAATGAATTGAATATTTCGGCATTAAAATAACTCTATGGGGCTATTTACATACTTTCGTTATGCTAAACCGTAAAAAGCTCTTCAATTCCGTTTCTGACACAATGCATTTCATATATTCTGTTTTATGAGTCTTCTATAAATTCGAAAGAGCAGTATTTTTCTTTGAGCTTTTCTATTTAGTGCATGTCTCCGAAGTTTCTGTATTCGAGTTTATAATTGCCTTTCTTTTTAAATGAGGTACAGTTCTTTTTTATTAATTACCGAAGAAGGACTACGTCAACATCGTCCCCTCCGTAATTTTTCCTTATTAGTGTATTTGGGATTATTATACCCTCGTCAACACAGCAAACGTTTATTTTCTCAGAACCAATGTCAACTACGCAGGCTTAACCAATACAAAAACCAAAACAGGCCATTATGCTTTCTTAGTGCATATATAGGGAGTTAAAATTTAGATTTTATAGAAACATTGTGACTAGCATTTTTAATTAAAAGCGGTTCATGAGATCAGGGATTATTAGAATGATATTATATTGGTTAAATTGTCTTTATTTTAGGTTCATTTTTTTGGTTAAAATATAATATATGAGGTTTTCGATGTCGTTTATGATGGCATTGTAGTTTTCTTGATATTCGGAGGTGTTAAAACAGCCGTGTTTTATAGGCTTTCTTATCATAAATTCTGGATTTTATTCAATCATGAAAATCTCGTCTTCGAAGAGAATGTTTTTTTTGGAAAAATCTGCTTTTGGATCATTTTCGATTTCCATTTTATTTTGAAAAATTAAGGTTTTTAAGTTTAATTCGACCTTGGTTTTTTGGGTCTTTTTTTAAGATTTTTAGGCATTTTAATTTAGCTTTTTTTATTGTTTTAGTTATTATTCTATTTTTTAACATTCCTTATCTAAAATATCGTAGTTTCGATAATTATCATGGAAAAAAGTAGTTTCAGAATTATTTGTTCTATAGGCAATTAAAGTACGGATTTTTTAAGGTTATTGCTCATTTGCAAAACCATATTTTATTGAATGAGAACCTATTTGGAATACTAAAGAGTCGTTGCCTTTTTCTAGCATTTTTTCTATATGTTCAGAACGCTAGTAAAGGCTTTTTATGGTTGATTGGACAAATTCACGGGATTGGTCTTGAATTTTTGCTTAATTGGTATTCATTTTTTGTTTAAAAAATAATTATAAATACTATTATGTTTGTTTGTTTTATGTATTCTTTTTTTAAAGATATATTTTCTTTATATATATAAATAAAATTTAAAATCTTCGATAAACAACATTATATTAATTTATTTAAATAATAAAAATAATTAAAATATATATATAAAATAATATATATATATATAATAAAATAATGTATTTTTTTTTTTAATATTATTTATTGAATATATGTTTATATGATATGATAAATATAATATAACATTATTTAAAAAAATAAATTATTATTTAATTTATATAAAATTTCTAATAAAAAATAATAAAGTAAATAAATATTATAATATCAAAATATATTATATTCATAATTATAATTTTTTCTAAAAAATTATATTAAAATAACAATAATTTAAATATTTTATATATAGTCATCATTTTATTTTCGGTTTATCAAAAAACTATATTTTTATTTTGGTTAAAAGGATATATTATATAATTAAATAAATCTATTATTATATGTTTTTGGATTAAATAACATTATATTAAATATATAATTTGGTTTATATAGTAAATTAAAAATATAGAAAATATTTAATACATATATTATTTAAAAAGATAAAAAATTAAAACTTTATTTTCCATAATTTTTTTTTTTTATAAAAATATTAATTAATTAAGAAATAAATCAGATTAAATTTAGAATTTATTTTATATTAAATTTGTTAATCTTAACATATTTTTTTTAATAATAATAAGATATATATTTTTTTTTAAAAAAAAAAATATTTATAATAAAACGAACTTAATTATATATTATAAAAAAATATCATACGTAATAAAGTTTTGAATTATCTAATATATATTAGTATTAGAAGCCGAATTATATTTTTTAGAATTAATGATATTAATATATATTAGTAAAATAATAACATGGCTTTATATTTTATTATAAAATAAAGTTAATAAAATTGTATTTAGAAAGGAAAAATTAATTATAATTTAATAAATAAATCTTCTTTTTATAATCTTATTATTTTATTTCGCCTGAAAATATGAAAAAATTTATCTTGTTTTAAGTTAATTTGGAATATCAGAATGTCCTTATTATTTCTTTTACGAATTTTAAAGACTAATTGATAAAATATTCATTAAATTGATAAATTAGATATGTTTTTAACTTGTTTTTTAAATTTTTCTTAATCATCTTTTTATTTTAAATATAAATTTAAAGTTTTTAGAACAAAAAAAAAATTAGAAAAAAAAAAAGAAAAAAAAAAAAAATTAGAAAAAAAAAATATAAATAAAAAAATTAGAAAAAAATAAATAAAAAAAATTAGAAAAAAAAAAAAAAAAAAAAATTAAATAATTTTTAGATTTTTTTTGTGTTAAAAATTATTAAAATTATATAAACATATTATATATATATATTATATACTAAATATATTGCCCATTTTTCAATAATTTTTTCTATAATTTTAATTATATAAATAATATGAGTATATTCTTTTTAGTTAAACTTCATCCACATTTGTTTTAATATATCTTTTATAAATGGAGTATCCTAATATATTTAATACAGGAATACCACAAAATATTAATAATTTTCCTAATTTTTATACTTTCATATATTGATTATCGGAATATTTTTGGTTTATTTTTAAACTAACTATTGTTAATGGAAGTGATAATGTTCCTGTAAATAGAAAATAAAAGTAGTTATCTTAAGATTCTATTAAATATTTTTATTCTAATTTATTCAATTCTTCTTAGTTTAATTCTGTATTTGTTAAGGGAAATTATTTGTTTAAATAATGTTTATCATATACTATTTTAAAAACTAAATCTTCATCATATAATTAGTATTAGAGAAGTTTATTTTAAAAATTAGGATATATTGACATTTATATTTTTGTTTTTAGTTTTAATATAAATATATAAAAAAAAATCAATTTTTTTATTTTATTTTTACAAATAAAAAAAATATTATATTTTTTTTATAATAAAAATATATATATATATTTTTTTATTATTTATTTAAATTTATGTATTTTATATTAAAAGTTAATTTTTTTTAATTAATTCAAATTTTCTTTAATTTAGGAAATAATCCTGTACTTTTATTTTTTTAAACCAATTTATTTTTAATAGAAACAATAGAATCATTATTTTTAACTTTAAGTAAACTAAGAATGTCAGGTTATGATTTAGTCAAATTAAGTGCTTTTATGTATAAATAGTCATAATATATAAATAAAATATATATATATATATATATATATATATATATATATAAATATATATATATATATATATATATATTATTAATTTATAAATTATAAATATTAATTACTTTCGTTATTTATACTATGATAAGGCCCTAGTTTTGTATCTTCAATAGAATGACCAGCATAAGTTTTATCAATAGTAGAAATATTTGGAATAGTTAAAGAAGGATCTTCATTATAAAGATAATTTTATACTTTTTCCTATTTTCAAATATAAAGTATATTTATTTATATATATTTACTTTAAGTCTTTGATTTAAATTAATATTTTTATCATTTGAGAACTTTTCCATTTCTTTAATTAAAGAAGTTAATAAATTATTATTAAAACTTATATTAGATTTAACAGGAGATTAAGAATAATAATAACTTTAAGAGTTGTTATATCTTTTAATTATTTATAAAAAAATAAATAGATATAAATTTTAAAAATTAAAGAATGTAAAAGTATATAATGTAAATTTAAATCATATCATTATTATATTACTTTTGTTTTTTATATTATTTTTCATCTTCATATATTTAGAAAGGTGTTCTACTAAATTTTTTCTATTAATTATTATTACTTGTTTATTTTTAATATTATTATTATTATTAATAATTCTATTATTATTATTATTATTAATCTTATTATGTTTATTATTTTTATTATATTATTGATTTTTCTTATTCTAATTTAAGTATAATTTTCGAAGTATCAAAATCGAATAATTATTAATCTATAAATTCCTAGTCTACATTTTCTTCTATTCCTAAGCTAATTCTCATTAATTCTTTTGTGACTATATCTAAAGCTTTTTATAAACATCCTAATTATTCGAAGTTTTGTTTTCTTTCCTCTCTTAATTTATTACATTCTTTTATTAAATGAGTATTTTCATTTTAAACTCTAATAACTACATCATCTCTATCATTTTCAGTTTATTTATTTAAGTTGCTTATTGTCTATATTTTTTTGCTCATAAAATCTCTTTGTCTAATTAATTCATCCTATATTTAGTCGTTATTACCCATATTTAATGCTTTTAAGAGTTTTTCATCAAACTTTTCTTAAGAATTATTGGACAAATCATTTTTTTTAATTAAATTATTTAGTTTACTATTTTATACAAAATATTTATTATATATTTAGTTCATTTTACGAAACCAATTTTCGTATTTTACATTTTAAATTAATTATAAAATATCCTATTTATATATAAAAATATATATAAAGAAATATATAAATATATAAATATATATATATATATATATATATATATATATTTTATTTTTATTTTTTTACATATTCAAAGTTTTAAATTTTATTTTGAGTAATTTATAAAATATCATTTTTTTATTTAAATTATTATTTTAAAGCTATTCTTTAAATTAAGGCTTCTTCTAATTTTTAATTAAATTTTTTCGCTGTTTCAGATTCGTCAGATAATTCTTTATATAATCCTCTAACATTATTCTTTTATATATATATATATATATAGTATTTTATTGTTTTTTACTTCCATATTTTTTGTATTGACTACTAATGGAAGTCTCTCTTCTTTTAAACTTTAAACTTAATAATCGTAAACTGTTTTGAAATTTTATAAATGATGGTTTTTATTTCTATATTGCTTTATTTCTATTTCTTTTTAGTTAATTTTATCTTCTTTATCTTATAATAATTTCTAGATTAATTGTATAAATAAATATATATAAATATATAAATATATAAATATATAAGTATATATCATATATATATATATATATATATATATATATATAATTATATATATATAATTTAATTAATATTATTTTTTTTTACTTGCATAATTAAGTTTTTTTCAATAAATTTTTTTTTTTCTTCTTCTAAATGGTCAATTTAATTAGAAGCTTCCTTTTAAATCGATTCTAATTCTAATCTCCTTTAATTAAATCTATCAATATCATTTTATTTTTTTGAATTTGAAGTTCTTAATTCTTCCTATCTTTTAATTTCTTCTTTTTTTTCTTTTTATAATTAAATTTTGATTTATTCAACAAATAATAAATGTTCCTTATTAATATATATATATATATAATTTATATATAAAATTAATAAATATACCTCTTTTTATTAATTAAAAACTTCTTTATATTTTAAAAGATTTTCATCCAATTTATTTTCGGAAGAATTGAACCTTCCAAAAAGTTACTAAAATTAATTTTCGTAGTCTTTTTCTTATTAATTTTATATTAATTAATACTATTTTTTTTCCTATTGTACTATATTTTATGCATATTCAATAAAATCATTATATTCCTATTATAATAGATCTTTTTATTAATAACATTTAAGTAATGTAGCCATATTATTTTCTTCTAAATTCTTAAACTCGACTTTATATTCGTTTCTGATTTTAGAAATATTATGTTAAAGTTCCTTTATTTTATTATCACAGTCTTCCATAATTTTACTTAGTTATTCTTTTTATTAAGCGACTATTTCATTGTTTTTATTTTCTTGTTTTTTTAATAGAGAATTAATTACTGAAATTTATCTCTCTTTTTCATCTTCTTGGTCTGTCTTTAGGTTCTATATACGAAACTCTAGCTCTTTTATTATGTCTTTCTTATTTTCCTCAATAATATTACTAGTTAAACATAAACTATTCAAACAATAAACACTCCCGACTGAAAATTTAGTATCTTCGAAAGCCTATAGTACTTCTATTTCCTTCCCGTTCTAAAATTCCCTTATTTTAGTCACATAAAAGCTTCCATCATCTCCTGCAGATACTAAAAACCCGAGATCGGGTGTACTTTATAATGAAATTACATTAGTTTAATGAAGAGGAATTTCAAAGTATTCTAAGTGTTTAGTTTATATGTCTAAAGGCCATAAATAAATCCTTAAACTACCAGTATTCATCCCAAAAACTATACATTGGTAATCGTTTATTAATAATGCAGAAGTCACATAATATGGGGAAAAGTCATACTCTTAGATTAGATTTTAACCTTTGTCATCGAATATTTTTACTTTACAGTCTTAAGAACAACAGGCTGCCCAGTCTAGAAATTTATCGTATACACAGGCTGTATATTTTATTTATTTATAAGCATGTTCCATTATTCTTTGTTAATTATTTACATTCCAGCAATTAAATATTCCTTATGAACAATTAGATTATATTTATGTATCTTCTTAGGTCCATTTAAGTTTTTTTATATATCCAGAATGACCATTTAATTATATTAATTATTCGAATGTATTATGATTATAAATACATATTATATTATAATTACCTTTAAAATAAAAATATATAAATATATATATATATATATATATATATATATATGTATATATTTATTTATAATTATATTATTACTAGCAGCAAGTAAATTACCACCTTCACTATATTTTGTGGAATAACAACCCTTTATATTATATTCACTATAAGCTAATTTTAATTCATCTTCTAAAATAAAAAAGAACTTCAACCTATTTAAAATATTTATATTTTTATATATGTATATATTTGCATATATACCCTTCTTTAAAACCTATAGCACATTAAAAGCCTAAAGCCTAAATATCTACAGAAAGTGGGTTTTCATGAAAAAATTTGTAAAATTGCATTTAAAATATCCATTAGAATGTTAAAATTCCCATAATTTCATTGTTTTATCTTCACAAACAGAAATCGAAATTGATTTTGAAGGACAAAATGCGAAATCGAAAATCGGACCTTTATGGACTCCATTAGGAAAAACTGGTGTAAATGCATTATCTTAGGCAGCACTTATCACATCTAATATACCGTAATTGAAAACATATAAGTCTATTCGACCAGTAGTTTCGGGCTCTTTTTTATTCGCGGGTATATTATCATGAGTATCTTAAGGGTCTTAGGGATCTTACTCAGATTTTTTAAAAGTCGGCTAGATTATACGGGGGGTATGTTGGATTGCAAATACTGTTATATTTTCCTAAACTGAGGAGGATATATGGAGGATCTTGTGTATATTAGTAGTTTTCAAAGGGAAATTGTGCTTAAAGAAGAGTTGTTAGGTTTTTTTGTTTATTTCATATATAGAAACAATATTACATTTTTCAAAGGCTATTATAAAGCCGTTATATAGAGGAGCTATGGAGGAAAATTGGTATTATTTTTGGGAAGTTTGGGAACATTAATCATTATTATTTTCGTCATTTTTACTTTAAAAGTCTATTCTTTCTTGTTGAATTAATTTAGGGGTGTCATTAAAATTTAAAGTTTAAATATATTTTTATTTTTATAGAAATGTAAATTATTTAAATTAGTAATTATTGCCAACAATTCAGTTTATGGAATTTAAGAAACATTTATAATTTGTTCCTTTTCTTTGAAAAATTCATTCTTATATACAAATTATTAATCAGAAAGATCTTTCTCGTCTGTATTGACTCTCCATATATTAAAATAATCAGGACCTATAAGATAAAAAATTTCGGGGTTTGTAGATTAGTTATCAAGAAAAAAAACGGAATGTAAAACATCACGAGTATATAAAAGACGATCTTTTGTTAAATCAAAAATGGAAATAACATTTTTGGATTCTTCTTATACTAAAGATACGCCATACTAAATATAAAAAATATATATATATATATAAATAATATATATATATATATATATATTTAATATTTTTTAATATATATATCTTTTTACTTTTTGTTTTACAACAAAACTGCAGTCTATTATTATTGAGTTTTATTACACATGTTAGTGTATGAATTATTATTGTGTATTTTATTTTTTTCATTAATATTTTTAACTATTATTTGTTTATATATATTTTTATTTTAATTTTAATTTTTACTATAGGAAATCCTTTATTGCCTTTTAATCCTATTATTATATTTAAAATATCTAATTTTGATAAATAATAATTCATGGCTGTTATTTCTAAATCCTCGCAATTTTTCATTATATAATTTTGTTTTTTATGCAATAAATCGTATTCTATTATATTCTTACCACATTAATAAATAAATCTTTCGTCGTCTATCATTAAAACATTTTTTCTTATTGGAATTTAAGAACAGCCGTAAGTCATGCATATATCTAATCTTATACCATTTATCATTTCTTTATTTTAATTATACATTCTTCTTTTTAGCTTTAATAAATATTTTTATGTACGTTTTTTTAGTTTTTTTATTTAACCTTTTTTTAATCTTGGTTTTGTTACATTTTTTTTATTTTGTTGTATTTATTATTATTTGTATATAAATATATATTTATATATATATTTATTTTAAAAGTTTTTAATATATATATTATTTTGTTATTCAAATTATTAAAAGTTATTTTTTTTTTTAATATATATTTTTTTAACTTATGATTTTTTTATTTTTAATTAATAAATATTATTTATTTAAAATATTAAATTTAACTTTTCTCAAAAAAAATCATAAATATTATTGTTTACTTTCAATTGTATATTTTTAATATAAGAAAAGCATAATATTTAGTATAATATAACGTTTAGTCACATATACAAATTACTAATTATAAATAAAATTAAATTAAATTTTTTATAGACTTTTATTTAAAAAATTCATAAGAATAAATTATATATAATTTATAGTATTTTTATAAAAAAAACTAGAATATATAAAAAAGAAATAAATTAAAATATTTTAATTCATTTTATGTTAAAATTATAAACTAAAAAATCTATGTAAAGAAATTATTTTTGATATTTATTTTAAGATTTTTATATTTATAATATTAAAATAAATAATAAACATTAAACTAAAAGTATTTTTTTAACAATTGAATATAATTTTTTTTATTAAAATTAATATTATTAAAAACTAAATTATACAACTATTTTTTTTTTTATATTTTTTACTAATTCATAAAATAAAATAAATTTAAATAATTAAATATAAATGAAAAAATATATTAATAAATATATATATATATATATTATATAATATATACATATATATATACATAAATTTATATATTAGTTATTTTATTAATAAATTTATAGATTTATTATTATTAAAATTAAACAAAAACAATTGAAAAAAAGCTATTATTAATAATATATATTTTAGTATAAAAAAATATTAATAAAAAATCTTTTTAAAATTAAAAAAGATACTAAAATCATAAAATAGTAAACAAACAAAAAGCAATAAAATAAAAATATTAGATATTTAAGATATATAGGTATTTATAATTTTTATTTAAAAATAAAAAGTATGATATAAATATATGAAAAAGAAAGAGAAATCTAATCAAATATTACTTATAGAAGAACATTGTTCTTGGATAAGAATTAAACCATTATTATATAATAAAAAATATAAAAAAAATAAAAAAAAATATCTTGACTTTTAAACAAATAATAAAAGTATTATATTAAATACTAAAACTTAATATAGTACATAAATGTATAAAAAAATATATTTAAAATCAAAACATTGATTGAAAAATAAATATAAAAAAAATATAAATTTTAAAAAAGTAGCATCTAGTTATTATTATTATAAAAAACTAAAAAATTAAATATATAGATGCATATATATGCATATTTATATATAATATATATATATATATATATATATATATTTATATATATTTCTATAAATATATTATTTTTTATAATTGAAAATTAATAATTATTATATTTTATATTTAATTTTATTAACAAAATTATAATATATAATTATTAATATCTTTTTTGTATTTATTATTTAAAATAATTATCTTACTTTATCTTAATTACTTTTATATCTTATATAATTTTTTTTTTTTTTTTTCATTTATTTTTTTATATATTTAGAATTTTTAATTTCGTATTAAATTAAAACTAGTTTTTCATAATTAAAATAATATATTTATTAATATAATTTTAAATTTATTAATTATTTTTATTAATATTAAATTTTTTATTTATATTAAGATTTTAAAATTTATTTATAATTTAAATTTTATATAAATAATTTAAGATGAATGAACAATTAATTAAAATTTTATTAAAGAATATTTTAATTAAATATAAATATAGATAATAAAATAAATTAATATATATATAATTATATTTATAAGAATTTTATTCGATTTTTCATACTAATTATTTGTTTAAATTGGATTTTTTTTAATTTATATAAAAATAACAAAAATTAATATTTTTTTTTTTAAAATAAAAAAATTATATAAAAAAAAAATAACAAGATTTTTAATAAATAATTTAAAAATTTAAAAAAAAAAAACAAAAAAATATGAATAAAAGTTAAATTCCAAATATACCAATAACATGGCAAAATCCATTTGTAGATATTTTTAAGAGATTTAATGTTTTTGAATATTCAAAATCTTGTAAAAAAGGAAATGTGACTGATTTTTAAGTTAATATAAACTTATATAAAAACTAATATAAATTAATATAATGATATATGTATGAAAAAATATATATAAATAAGATATAGTATATATTTAAATATTAGATTAATGCATAAAAACTAAAAATTATAAAATATATATATATATTTAAATCAAAAAATAATATTTTTATATATATTATTTTAATAAAGGAAAATAATATAGGCCGAAGAGTATTTAAAATAGAAGGTAGTGTATCAGCATGTAATTATATTAATATTCCTGATGTTTCTACCGGAATAAAATCATTAGGTTTAACCGGAAGATATGTAAACTTATAAATATTTAATTTTAAATTTATATATAAATATAATATATATATATATATATATATATATATATATAGATTTATTTAGAATTTATTACTATTAAATAAAAATATTTTAGTATTCATTTAGATTTTTAAGTTAAAAGTAGAGAATAAATAGTACGTTTTACTATTACTAATATGAATGAAGAATATAAAAATTAAAACAATTAAGTTCTAATAATTCCTTTTCCAAAATAAAGTTATGAGAAATGGAATATTTTAGTACTTGATATCGAGTTCCTATTATAAAATTATGGACTTTTTAAACACGAAAAAATTATAAGTTTTTAAAATTTTCATATGTTAAAAAGTCTATAAATTTGTTCTAATTTACTTTTTAGAGGAGCTTTTACAGCCGATTATTTATATGATCATAATGTTAGCAATATATAAATACTTTTTATTATTTTTGTCTTCTGTAATTTTCATATAATAACACAATAATCATATTTAATAAAAAGGTTACTAAAAACGTTTTATGGCCTTTTTATTATTATAATTAATTTTATAGAAAATTACAGAAAGAATATATAAATAATTTCTAATATATATATATATTTATTTATATTTTTTTTTTATCTATATAAAAATAGAGTTTACCAAGAGAATTAGATTTTAAAATACTTTAAAAAGATTAAAAATGGACTGATGTTTATTCAATAATATATATAAAGGGACAAGAAGAACAATAAAAGGAAAAAAACAAAGAAAATATACCCGAAAACACCCCTTATATATTAGAAAGTAAGTCTATTTAAGAAAATAGCATAGTTTAGTCAAAAAAAACCACCCAAAAATATAAATAAAATCATATTCTCAAAATAAAAAATGTTATTGGATATTCAGGAAATATATGTCCAGATATAAAATGGTCTAAAAATTAAGAAAATTAACACGAAATAATAACAATAGTAGGATCCTTAATAATCATAAATAATACATAAAATCCTTAAATATAACGAATTATATAAGGAAATAATAATTAAATACTTACATATGATATATCTAGGTAAAAAAAAAATATATAAAAAAAATTTTTATATGTATATAAATATAAACATGTAAATATATATATAAATATAAATATAAATTTATATATTATATATATATATATTAAATATACTTATATATTTTAAAATTTTATTCTTTTGTTATAGAAATGGAAAATATATCATATCAGTTTAAGACGGAAAAAAAAATTAAATAAGAATATGGGACTATATTACAGGTGATAATATAGGAAAAGCTGATATTTTAAATATGGAAAATGTCAAAAACATATCTATTTCTTTTGATTTTTAGTACTTTTGTATATAAGGAAATGACGAATATAATCGTGAAATGATTTTTTTATTTGAAATTTAATAAAAATAAGAAGGAAAACAGTTTAATATAGAATTTTTGTAAAGACAAGCTTCAGAATCTAATATTATATCCATGAAATACTCACCAATCGAAAACACAAAAATAATAACCTGTGGTAAGGAAAACATCAGATTTTGGAGGAAAAAAAATTAACAAATGATAAGTTCTCCAGTAATACTCACTCCCTAATATAGAAAAACAGTCTTCACAGTCCTCGAATACGAATATATATTTGATTAATTTATGAAAATAAAGCGAGTTTTCATAGGATCGAAAGACGGACACCTCTTCTAGGTTAATTATTAGACTTAAGAACTGGAAAATATATATAAATGCCATAATATGGCCATTACATCTATTTGTTTTAGTGCATCCTTCTGTAGTACAGGGGCCGAGGACATGTATTTAAGGGTGTGGCCTTTAGATTTTAGTGAATATAGTCTAGAGGCTAAGCACGAGGGCGTTATATACTCTATAGACATATCTTTGGATGCTTTAAAAATTGGTGTTTCAACTAGTTTGGGATCTATAGGGATTCTAGACTTAGGGAATAATTAATATAAGACTTTTTTGAGGAGCCATATGGGGGAAATTTAGTCAATTAAAATGGTTAAAAATATGCTCGTTAGTCTAGGAAAAGAGGACTTTTGTATCAGAATGTGGGATTTAACAAATTTAGAAGAAATCTATGAGTTTTAGTACCCAGTGGAGGATTAATGTTGCTTTTTGGATGTTTTAGAAGATAAGAAGTGCCTTATAGGAGGGTTTTAGAGTGGATTTTTGAGGATTATAGATATCGAAGGAACTCGGGTGTTGTTAGAGAAGAGGCTATTTGAGAAAAATGTGGTGTGTATGAGTGTTTTTTAGGGTAACGGGGTTGTTTGTGTGGGAGATTAGAGTGGATATTTTGTTGTTTTGGAGTTTCTGGGAGGCTTTCCGGAGTTTAGGTTAGCTTAGAGTATTTTAGTAGGGGATTAGAAGGAAGATAAGGGAAATGGATGTTGTTGTTTTGAAGAAAATGGAGAGGTTTTGGGACTAGGGAAGGGAAATTTAGTTTGTTTTTATGATGTTTTGGAAGGATATTAGAAAATATAGAGCTTTTAATGTAATAATGTTAGAAAAATGAAGTTTTTTGGAGGTGTTTTTGTAGGTCTATTAGGGGAGAAATTAAGAGTTTATAAAAAAGAAGGAAAAAATGGATTTTTTTTGGGAATTTTTGAATGTAAATGACTTTTGTTTTGGAGATGAATTTGGGGTTTTTTAATTATTTAAAATTAAAAGGAAATTTTGGGTTGGAAAATTTTCGAAAAAGAGATGGTTTTTTTTAGAGTTTAGAGTTTTTTTAAGAAATAAATGAGTTTTTTTGTAAAAATGATGAAGTATTTTTTTGCGGGAAAAAGGGAATTTTTATATTTAATTTTGTGTTTGATTTATGGAATTTAAATTAAAAAAAAGAATAAGTCTAAGATTCATATATATAATAATTATAAAATGATGATTTTAATGAAAATGACTATATTTGGTTTAAATAGAATTGTAAATGGAAAAATATTAAAAGAATATATAGTTTTAATCCTAAAATTAATAATAATTAAGTCGTATATATTAATAATTAATAATAAATAAATAAAATCATTAATTCTTTTTAAAATAATCCATTTATATTCAATCATAAATAAGGCTTTTTGGCATAAATAACCTAAAATCTATTAATTATTATTTTCTTGAAAAAGAATACTTAAAAAATAGTTACTTTTTCTGTTCTTTTAAAAACTATGTTTTTATCCCAAAATCAGTAGTCTTTGTTTATTGGAACTGAAAAAAATACACTAGAAAATAGTTCCTTTATATATGTTTTAAATACTAGAGACTTTAATATTTAAAAAAAATTAACTTTTCACTAAGAAACTGTAACTTTTTTAGATTGTTTTGATAATTTATTAGTTTCTTGTGCAAAAGATAATACTATAGCAGTATGGGATATTAATAAAGGAAGCTTAATAGCCAGTTCTTATTGTATTAATTAAATAAATTATATATAAATCAAAGAAAATTCACATCCTTTATAATTTTTAACAGCCGGAGAAGGCTTTTTAAGACTCTGGTAAATTTGTGAAGATGAAAAATTGGCTTATTTAGATTTCTAAATTGATGAAAGGGAAGTTTTAGTTAGTTGTTGTTTTTTTAATAATGGAGAATAGGTACTTTGTGGTAATTCAAAAGGAGAAATTTTGGTTTTTTAGGAATAATAAGATGAGTTTATTAATAAAATTAAAATTGGGGAAAAAAAAGTATTTTTATTTAAAAATGAAGAGGGAGATTTTTTAAGTGTTTTTTGCGAAAATCATATTTTTTATTGTGAAAATTCGTAAAATATTGAGTTTTTGTAAAAATTCGAAAATTTAAACTCAGATTTTCCTCGCTTTTTAAAACTGAGAAAAAAAACTGGATTAATTTAATTTTAAAATGGAAATATTTCCTTTATAGATTTTTAAAAAAATTAAATAAGTGATTTTTTAGAATAACTAAATATAAATTAAGAACATTAATTATTTTATATAAACGAGAATGTATTTGCTAGTTTTGTAAAAAAAGATGGCCTTTTATATTTCTGGAGTATATAGACTTTCGAAAAAATAAGCTAATATTAAATACAGGAAGGCATAGAAAGCCTTTTTTATGAAAAAAAATATGAAAATGTATATTTTTTGGGTAGTTTAGGTCATTTTTATATAGTAAATTTAAATAATTTAAATCAAGTTTTATGTTTTTAATAAGAAAAAAATTACTTTTTTAAAAGTTTTTTTTTAAAAAAAAATAATAATGATAATTTTAATATATTATCAGTTGATTTTGAAGGGAAGATTTTTCAAATGAAAAAAAATGTTGAAAAAATAGGCTTTAAAAATATTTTATAAATAAAAAATATATAAAACATTTAATTTTGTGAAGTTTATGGAGAATTTTTAGCTTTAGCAAATAAAAATGGATAAATATATATATATAATATAGATAATAATTTTCAAGAAATAATAGACATATTCGATTTTTTCGAAAATCCTCACGGAGATAATATAGATAATAATGAAGAAAGCAAAAAAATTACACACTAATTATATAAAGATATAGTAAATAGAATATAAAGAAAAATTAATATATATAAAAATATAATAAATATATATATATATATATATATATTTAAATACTTAGGAAAGCCAAAGTAAATTAAGCTTTTATGAGAATAATAATTATTTTGCTATTAATAGTAGCTTATAGTATATTTTCGTTCGAAATTTTATTGAAAAATATATTGTTTAGAGAATTAATATTAATGGTTTTCCAAAGTTTATTTAAGTATTTTAAAATTAATTTTTCTTCGTTGTATGTGATAATAATGAAGGAGATAATGATTTTATATTTAAGATTAATATTGATAATAATTACAATTAAAGGGAGTATTTAGATAAGGCATTTGAATGTAAAATAAATGACATTATTTTAAATGACAAATAAAAATAAATAATTATTAGTTAAAATTTTGGAATTTATGCAATAGGCTTTTGATAATAATTTAAATTTTTTATGTTGTTTTATTATTTTTAAAAATCAAATAAAATATTTTTTTATTTATTTATTTTGATTTAATATATTAACTAAAATAAAAAAATTATATATTAAATAGAATATATTTATCTTATAATTTATTTTTCAATTATTAAAAATTAAATTAATATGTTTATATATAAATAAATATTAACATATATATTTATATATATATATATATAAATATATTTAATTACATATATATTTATTTTATTTTTTATATATATTTTTATCTATTGCTTTTTTATTAATTATAACAACTATATATTATATTTTTAATTTAATAAGTTAAAAAATATGTTTAACAGTTCTAATAATAATAATTAATCTGATTCTTAATTATATTAAAAATAAAACTAAAGTCCATTATAAACATCATATATATAGAATTAAAAAAAAAGTCTTTAAAATGATTTAGAAAATAGCCTTTATTAACTATAATAAATTGATTAATAATATACTGATATTTAATATTTATAAAAAACACTTAATTAAACAAAAGCTGAAAGTGATATTTGGAGATAAAAATACGAGTCATAAACTAATACCATTATTTAGATAAAATAAACTCATGAAATGGAATAAAAAAAACTTTAAAATTACATTAATAGACTCAATGATGAACTAAAACATCAATAAATTTAAAAGAAAAAACTCATAGAGTATTTTAAATATAAAATATAGAATGAAAATAATCTAAAAATTGAAAAAGATACAAAAATATATTAAAATAACCTCCATTTATATGAAAATTAACTAAAAAAAACTCTAGAAATGTTCGATGATTACAAAAAGGAAATTCAAAAACTCGAAAATGAGCTTTAATAAGAAAAAAATGAAAAAAATGAATAAATAAGTCGATTAATTGATTAACAAAATAAATTAAAAACGGAGATTTAGGAGATTGAAAATGAAAATAAATCCGAAAATTTAAATTTGTAAAAAAAACTGGAAAACTAATTTTCAGAATAAATTTTTTCCCTGAAAAAAATGCAAGAAAACGAAGTAGAAATTTTAAATGGAGAAAATTTCAGTCTAAAAAATCTTTTGGAAGTCAAAAATAAAGAAATAGATAATTTAATTTTATAAATTAAAAACTAAAAAACACATATGGAGGAAGAAAACAGAATTTTGAGGTAAGAAATAAATACTTTTAGGGAAAAAAATAACAATTAAACTATTCTAATGAATACTTAAATGTAAGAATTAAGGGAGATGTTGAATAACTAGAATACCATAGATATTTAAGGGCTCTAGTATTTCCATTAAAACTAAATGGAAGGTTTATAATAGAAGATTGAAGCTTTGAAAGGGATAAATTAGACCTAATAATAAGAGTTAGAGTATTAAATTAGGGAAAAAAATATATAAAAAGAATAGTTTATGTAAGAAATACTAAGATTTTAGGGAGAAATTGAAAATTGGAAAGGAAAATATAAGGAAAATGAGAAAAAAAGAGAAAAGGAAATTTAAGAATATTTATAGAAATTAAATAGCTTAGATTTAAATTAAAATGAAATTTAGGATTAAAAAAAAGAAATGATTTAATTTTTAGAAAATGAAAATGGAAAATTAAAGGAAACTTTAAATTAAAAAAATCAGGAAATCGAATCTAATAGAAATTAATTTCTTTAGATAAAGAAAAGTCTAGAATATGATAATAATAATTTAAATATTGAGTTAGATGAATATAAAAAAAAATATAATAATATTTAAATATAAATAAATTTTTTAGTATAAGACTTTAAATAAAAATCGAATGTAAACCAATATGATAATGAAATATAATAAAAATAAAATGATACTATAAAGTTATTATAAGAATAAGATATAAATGCATTAAAGTGTAAAACTTATTTAAATGAAATTAAATTAACTATATAAATATATATAAATAATATACATATATATATATATAATAATTATATATTTATTTATATATTATTATATATATTTATTACAAAAACATAAATTTTTATATATATATATACTAATTATTATTTATATATTATCTATTTTTATATTATATTAGAAATTTATAAATTTACTATTTTATAAATAGAAAATATTTAAACCAAAGAAAATGAAATTTAAAACTTATTAATTTGTAAAGAAAGATATGAAAAAGAGATTAAAATAATTTAAAATAAAATTGAAAATTAACACATATATATAATTAATTTAGAATAACTTAAAGTAAAAGAAATTGAAAGTATTCGCACTAGAATGGAATGTTAACATTTTTACATAATAGATTAAATGAAGATTTCTCATTAAAATTAAATAAACATTATGAATAAGGAAATCGAGGATATAAAAATTTTAAATTAATAAAAAAATGAGGAAATTAGTGAAATGAATATAAAATATAATAAATTAGAAATTATTTTTTAAGAATTAAAGCTAAATAATGAAAAATTAAATAATGTTTCATATTAAAAAAATAATATAACTAATGTAAATTGTATAAAAGAAAGTTCTTTTGATTTTAAAGAAAGGTTTTCTAAATATTCATCATTTGTATCATAAAAAATAAATAGATGATATAAATAAATATATATATATATTATATATAAATATATATATATATATATATATATATATTATATTTATTTTTTCTCATATTTAATTTTTTTATTATAATATATTTATAATATCATTTAGATTAATTTATAAATTTAATAATATAAAATATTTTTATAATTATAGATTTTAATAATTATAATAATTTTCTAATTATATTTATTTATAAAAATAAATAATTATTTTTATATTTATATTTTATAGTTATTTATCTATATATTTTATTTTTAAAGTCTTATAAATTTCAAAAATATAATATTTAATTATCTTAAATAAATTATTTATATATATTTTATAATCATTCGATTTTCTTTTATATATATAATATAATTTTAAAAATGTATTTACTTTTATATATTTTATAATTTAATTCAAATAAATGATATTAAATATTATTTAAGATAAATCAAATTAATATATATATGAATATATATATATATATATATATAAATATACATATATATATATTTATTTAATTAATTATTAATTTAATCTTAATTTATTTATAAATTACTATTTTTGTTTAATTTATAATTTTACTTTTTCTTGTATTTTTTTTTTTAATAATATTATTATACAATTATTTAAATTTTTATTTACTTTCCCTTTTTTTATTTTTTATAAAGATAAAATCAAATAAACTAATCATACTACTTATTAAAATAATAATATAAATCTACAAATAAATAAATAAAAATATACATATATATATATGATAATATCAAATATATTTGCTATTGTCTTCCTTGAAATAAAAGAAGATATCCAAAAAATGAAAGATGTCTTCGAATATCACTTAATATCTTTAAAAAACTCATATACTGATTTAAACTAAAGAAAAAAGCTTTAAAAAAAACTTTAAAAAGCCTAATCTTATGAAGAATGGTGTAAATACGCTTGTTAAATAGACAATTTAAAGCAAACTAAAATTTGGAAAGAAAAAGTGCATTCTAAAAATTATGATTATTAATATATAATAAAAATAAGGAATAATTTAAAGGAAAATCGTTAAAATCAAAATATACAAAAATTAATTGATATCATAAGGTCACATCCTTTTAAAAATGTAGCAAATATTTTAAACCCTTAATTATATTCTTAGTCTTATATAGGAACAAAAAATCTCATTCAAGACTTTTAGACAGAACTAGAGCTTTCTTTAAAGGAAATACATGATACTAAGATACTTTCATATGAAAAAAAGGTAGAATTTTTCAAAGAACTAAGACATGCTTTAGGTAGAACGGCTTTAGTGTTTTCTGGAGGGGCTTTTTTTGGACTATATCATACAGGTGTGGCTAAAACATTATACGAGTAAGGCGTTTTACCGAAAATTATATCTGGAAGTTCAGTCGGGAGTATAACTGCAGCGTTTATAGGAACATAAAAATATGAAGATTTGTATAAATGTTTTTCTTCAGAGGGACATGTTAATTATAAAGCTTTTTTATAAAGAGACCCAAGAAATAGTTTTATAAGAAAAATTATTAGATTTTTTAAAAAAGGGCATATATTAGATATGTAAGTATATAAAAATTTTATAAGAGATAATATAGGTAAAGAATATAGATATATGAATATATATAAATATTAAAATAATTAAATATACAAATATTATATATATAAATTTATAAATAAATATATAAATACATACATATATATTTTTTTAGGAGATATTACATTTTAACAAGCTTATGATTTAACTGGATTTGTTTTAAATATAACAGTAACTGGCTCTGGTTAATACATATAAGACCGTGTATTGAATTATTTAACATCACCTAATGTTGTAATTTGGTCTGCAGTATGCTGTTCTTGTAGTTTACCTGGTGTTTTTCCTCCATAAGATTTATTATGTAAAGAAAGTGATGGTAGTTTAGTAAAATATGTAGAATATGCTTAATTTATTGATGGTTCTATTGCCTTCGATGTCCCACATATTAAATTATAGGAAATGTTTAATGTAAATACTTTTATTGTCAGTTAAGTTAATCCTTATGTTATTCCTTTATTAGATCATTCTTAATCTATAAGACATAGAAATAAAATGCTTTTATTTACTTTAAAAATTTTAGAAGTTATTAAATCTATTATTTTTGATGAAATTAAGGCTAGATTTTCTTAATTAAGTAAATTAGGGTATATAAAGAAATATATTAATTTAAATTTATATATAATTTAGAATTTTACCTCATTCTTTTATTAAAACTTTAAATTTAATTTATTAAAAATATGAAGGAGACATTACTATATGGCCTGCACCTAAATTAACGGATTATTTTAATATTTTTAAAAATCCAACTTGTCATGAATTTGTCGAAAAATATACAAAAGCAGGTGCTTAGAGGTGTTATTAAAAATTATCACATATATAGTTTTTGACAAAATTCGAAAGAATAGTAAATGAATGTTATTAAAACTTGAAAAATTAAGAAGTATATATGAAAAAAATTAATGAAATTCAAAGAAATATCTCTTTTGATATACCAATTAGATAAACATGATATATATATATATATATATATATATATATATATATATATATATATATATATATATATAAATATATATATATATAATATTATTTATATTAAAGTTTTTAAATATTAAATTTGTTTTTATTTATATAGACTAATTTATATAAAAATATTTATAATTATTATATATTTAAACTTATTTTATATCTTTATATATATATAATATTTACTCTAATGATAAAAAATATTTATTATATATATATAAAGAATAATTTTATTATATATTATTTTTATTATTAATGTATTTTTTAATTTAAATATTATAAAATATATATATATATCTTTCTAATTAATGTTTTATTATATTATATATCTTTTTTTTTTTTCATTTTAATAATAATACTATATTAAATTTAATTAATTATATATGTAATTTACAATTTTTATACATATAAATATTATATATTTTAATCAATTATTTTAATATTCCAATATTGGAATATTAAAAGATTATTTATTTTTTTATAAAAAGTCTTCCATATTTATTTTATTTATTCTATTACAAAAAGTACAAAATTAAACACGTAGACTTATATATTCACCAGTTTTTTTTATAAAAAATGTTTGAATTTTAGATTTTTGGGCCATATACTAATATCATATCTATTTTTTAAATATAAAATATTATCTTTTCCTTTATTAAAAGAAATAAACAAATAAATAATAACTATCAAATTTTTCAATATATTTGACTTTATTATTATTATTATTTGTATAAAATATTTATTTTTTGGTAAAAATTAACCAGGTAAACTAAAATAATAATAAAAGATGGATATAAATACATTTTGTACAGTAATGTTATTATATATTATAAATATTTTTATTTTATACTAATAATTGTAATATTTAATATAAATCAATTTGTTATATATAAACTATGTATATTATATTTGATATTTTCTTATATAATTTTTTTACATATTATTACAGTTATATTTTTTATATATTTTAAAAAATTATAATAAATAGAGTCTAAAATAAAATAATATTAAAAAGTTATATGGCTTTTTTTCATATCTTTATAAGATTTTTTTTTTTAAAAAAAAAAAAAACCTTTTTTTATATATAAAATACATTTTTAAATTATATTTATGTTATATATTGATCTATGTGAGTTAAAAAACATTATATAAGAGTTTTTATGCTTATATAGTATAAATTATATATTTATGGATTTAATATAATTGATATGATTTTTATAGAAATTTAATATAATTAATTAAATTAAAGTTAGAATATGATTTTTAGAAGTATTAAATAAATATATTAAGTTATTGAATAAGTATATAATATAATGGTAATCGCAATACATTGAGTATTTTAAAAAATAAAAATAAAATAAAATAAAATAAGTATAAATTAAGGAATTTTAATATATATGGAATATTTTATAAATAAAAATATTTAAATAATACATATTTTTATATTTTTATTTTAAATAAAAAAATAATATATATATTTTTAAAAAGTTATTTATTCAAAATAAAAATAATTTTAAAAATGCAAATAAATATATTTATATTTATTATATATTTATATTTATTATATATTTATAAAATATTTATTTATTTATTTATTTATTTATTTATTTTTATATATATTTATATATATATATATTTATTATATAAAATCAACTTTTATTTTATTAAATATTTTAATCTAATATTTTTTTTATTTGTTAATAATCTGGAATTAATTCATAATCATCTTTAATCATTTACTCTATTAATTCTATAAACCAATTATCAAAAATTTTGCTTTTTCTTATTTTTTCCAAATGTCCATATAATTTATCATTTTCGATTTCATTTTCATGTCCTAAAATCAGGAATTTTCCTAATATTTTAACTTTGCTTTTTTAGTTTATATTGTTTTCCTCAAAAAGCTCGTTTGGGAAAAAACTCATTAGTTTCATTATTTTTTTTGGATATTATTTTCTTTTAATTTTATCTTCTTCTGTATTAAAACCTTAGTTTTCTCTAATTATTTAATGTGAATTTATTCTTAAGGGACTTACTACTTTTCTTTATTTTTCTATAGAATTATTATTATTTTCAATGCTTCTTTCAGAAAATAAAATCTATTCTTTTCTTTATTAATGATTTCCTTCTTCTTATTATTCTTCTTCTTCCTTATTATAGTCTTCTTCTTCTTTTACTTTTTATAGATTACAAATAGTTCCGAATTTCAAAGCTTTTTAAGATGATTTAAGTTTTTAGGGACTGGCAATTAAAAAATCTTGATCTTCCTACTATCTTTAGGCAGAGAAAAATATGGAGAAATCAATTAATTCTTGTGTCAATTTATAAAGCATTTTTTTCTGAGTTTCTTCTTAATTTGAGACTATTTATTTCATAGAAATATTTTTGTTGATATTTTCTAAATCTACATCTTAATTATCATCTTCATCGAAAGATTTTAGACTCTATTTTTTTTTGAGAATTTTCAGAGTATTTTTATTATTAATTTTAACGGGAGAAATTTAAGTTTCTAAACTATCCAAATTAACTGCCGAATAACACATTTAATTTATATTATTATTATTTGTTATTTCGTTTTGGAAAAATTAGTGATTTAAGGCTTGTTTTGCGGATAACCGTTTTTCAGGGTTAGCTTCTAATAATTTATATAACAAATCAATAGCGTGCTTGTTTAACTATTTTATATATATAAATAAAATAAAAATATATATAAATTTATTTTACTTAAATCTTACTTAATCATACTATTAGCCTCTTAATTATATTTTACATCTTTTATTATCTTCTAAAACTTAAGAAAATTTACACCCTGGAAATACTGTTTTTCCTGTTAAACTAAATATACATATATTTAAATATAAATCAATTATATATTTTACAGTATATGAAAAATAACACCAATGCTAAATAAATCACATTTTTCTGTATATCTATGTTAATCTGATTCGTTTGATAAAATTTCGGGGGCAACAAAACCTGGAGTACCTACATGTATGTAAATATAATGAGGGTCATTATAGAATTAAGAGAGTCCGAAATCAATTATCTTTAAGTCATTAAGGGAAGAGCTATTATCATTTGCGAACATAATATTCTAAGGTTTTAAGTCTCTATGCATTATTCCTATACTGTGTAGATATTCAATGCCTTTTAGTAATTACTTTAAGATATGTCTTACTACTTAATAACCGAATTAAGTGTTTTTGAAACGGGTTAGTTCGCCCTATAGGGTTTTGTTAGATTCACAGAGTTCCATTAATATGTAAAAGCCATGTTCATCTTCATATGTAGCTATTAGTTTAATACAATTAGGGTGGTTTATCATTCTTAATATTTTTAGTTCATTATATAAAGATTCCTTTTTTTTATAATTATGTATTTTTTTTTATTTTTATAAACTTAGGAATCTTCTATTGTTTCAAGCTTTTTTTTATGTAAATATTTAACAGCATATATTTTATTATTGTCTTTTCTTTTTACTTTATACACCTTATTATTTATTTTAATTATATTTTAATATTAAAAGTAATATATATATATATATATTTATCAATATAATTCAAAATAATTTAATAGATTATTATAAATGTATAAAATATATATATGTTTATATTTTTATATATATGTAAAAATATATTTATTTATATTATTTTATAAAGCAATAAAAAATATATAAGTTATTTACTTTAGCATATTTTCCTTTTCCGATTTTTTTAACTATTTCGTATTCATCAAGAAAATTATTTTAGAAAATTTATTTAGCTAAATACTGTCGCATAAAAACCATTACAGCACTATCGGAATAATATTCGATTTTTTCATTTTAATTTTTAGTTATTAAACGAAAGCCTATAGTTTTTTCACTGAATTTCTAATTTTACTTTTTAGGATCGATTATCCATTATATTTACCAGTTAGGTTATAATAGTATTATTTTATCAGGTTTTTTCTAATAAGGTTCCTATATTTATATAAATGTATTATATGTATATATATATTTGTATATATATATATATATATATATATATATATATATATATTATAATGTAATATTTTATATATTACTTGACATATAACAATTTAGTCTTAAGTACAATACATATAATATAATTTTTGTAAACCTAAAAAACCTTTTTTTGTTAATCTGGCTTCAAATAGGCAATTTGTATAGTCAAATTAATCTATATTGTTTTTACTCATTTTTTTTTTTTTTATTTAATTTTATTTTTATTTATCAAATTAAAATAAAAATAATGGTAATTTAAATTAATCATTATATTAAAAAAATCATTTTTATACATATTTATATAATTATATAAATAAAAAACCAAGAAGATTCATATTTTTTTTAAATAAATAATTAAAAAAACAAAAAAAAGGCAACTTTAAAAATAAAAATGATATTAAATCTAGTTCTTAAAAATAAATATAAGCTAGATTTAGTAAACTTCTTTTCAACTACAAAAAAGCCTTATATAAATGGTCGTCCTTAAAAAAGACCTTTATGGAATCCTACAGACCATAATCTAGAAAAAACATTTGTCCTTACTGATTATAGTGATTTAAAAGGGTGAGGTTGTAAAGTCCCCCAGGCCGATTTGAAGAAATACCTTGAAAAGCTAGGAAACGCTAAATAAATAACAAGCGAAGCACCTGATGTAAGTGTAAGGCCTGTAAGAAATACTAAAACTAAGAAATTAATTAGTACTATAGACTTTTTTTATCCCTTAGTAGAAGATCCTTATATGTAAGGAAGAATTGCATGTTGTAATGTACTTTCGGATCTATTTAGTATGGGAGTTACTGATATTGATACTGTTTTAATGGTTTTAGCAGTTTCTAATAAGATGAATGCTTAACAAAAAGAAGTAATATATATATATATATATAAATAATAATATATAAAATATGATTTATATAGATAGTTACATCTCTTATGATATAAGGTTTTGATGAATGTGCTTAGTAAGTAGGCGCATACGTTTTAGGGGGCTAAACAATAATTAATCCATGGCCAATAATTGGAGGAGTAGGAATCTCAGTAGTAGAAAGAGAGGAGTTTTTGATGCCAAATAATGCAAAAGTTGGTGATATGATAATATTGACTAAGCCTTTAGGGACTTAATTGGCAGTTAATTTAAAATAATGGTATACTAAGGACATAAAGGATAAATTAGAAAAAATATAAGGCTTTATAAGTAAAGAATAGGTTGATTAAGCATTTTTGAAAGCAGAAATGGAGATGGGTACTTTGAGTATTTTGCCAAGTTTTTAATGAAAAAATATAAGGCTAATGCATGCACTGATGTGACAGGATTCGGAATTAAGGGACATTCTTAGTTTTTGGCAGAAGTATAGAAAGAATAAGTAGATTTAATCATTAATAATTTACCTACAATTAAATATGTGGCAAGTATAGACGGAAAAGCGAGAGATTTCAAATTTAAATAAGGGCTAAGTCCGGAAACTAGTGGAGGTTTACTTATTTGTTTAGAAAAAAATAAGGCAAAGGAATTTATTTCGGAAATGAAAGATAATGGGCTTGAATGTAATCTTGTAGGAGAAGTTGTTAAAGGAAAAAATAATTCGATTGTAAGAGAAGATGCTTCTATCGAAGAAATAATATGATTTATATAAGAAAAATGAATTTTTGAAAATTTATAAAATTAAAAGGAAGTCTGTTATTATGTTTTTTTTTTTTAAATAAAAAAAAGCACCTTAAAATATTTCATAATATAGGGAACAGGCTGAAAATATATTTTATAAAATTTTTGAATGTTTTATTTTTATTAAATTGGTACAAAACAGATTTTATTTAATAGGATAAAAATAAAAAAATATAAAAGAATTAAATTAAATAAATATATATATATATATATATATATATATATATATATTATATGTATATATTTTTTTTATTTATATTTTCATAAATACACATCTTATTCATCAATTTCAAAATCATCATTTTTTTTCTATTAATTATTACTATGTTTTTAATTTTTAATTTTATTTTCTTCGTCTTCATCTTCAATTTCTACTTCTACTTCCTCTTCTTCATCTTCTTTTTCCTTTTCATTTTCCCTTATTTTATTTATATTTTCTTCTTACTGTTCATTATCTATTTCTTCTTTGTTCTTATTTTATTATTCTTCATATATATTGCTTTCTTATTTTACACCAATTTTTTTATTTGAATTTATTTAAACTTCAGATTTTTATTGCTTTTTCATTTAAATTTATTCGTTATTATATAAATTATTTTCTGATTTTTAATTATTTTTATTTTATTCATTATATTTTTTGTTTTAATTCATTTGTATTTAACCATCTATATTATTTTAACTTTCGTTATTATATATATTACTTTTATTTTATTTTAAACTATTTTTATTTCTTTCATTTTATTATTCATCATCATTATCTTAATTTTATTTTTATTTTTGTTATTTATAATCTATATTTTCCTCATTTTCTTAATTATTATAGTCTTCATTATATTAATTTTCGTTTTTATTTTATTTTTAAGGTTTTTTATTATATTTTTAGTTCATATTTTCATCATTTATTATTTATTCTTAATTTAAATTTTGATTAATATCTGAATTTTAACTCATATTATCATCTTAATTTATATTATTTTTATTTAATTTTTATTTTATATTTTCATTTTCATTTAAACTTAAAATATCGTAATTTTCATGACTATTTTTATTTTAAATTATGCTATTTTATTTTTAAACCTATTTATTTATATTTTAACTTAAATTATCTTCTGAGTTTTATTTACTATTTTCCTAGTTTATATATTCATTATCATTATATATTTAATCTTTTTTATCTTTTTTATCTTTTTTATCTTATTATTAATTATTATTACTATCATCTTAATTGTTATCTTTATTAACTTTTGAATTGATATTTTTATTCTATTTGTAGTTTATATTATCTTAGTCTAAGTCTTATATTGAATTATCATTTTTTTCTTGTATTTATTATTAAGAATTTTTTTTATATTGATTTTATATATTTTATATAGATTTTTGATTTGAATCTTATTTTATATTATTTTTATTTTTCGGAGAAATTTATTTTTTTATATTAACATTTTTTTCTTAAAAATTCTCATTTTTTATAATTATTTCTGATTTATTTTTTTATTAATAAATATTTTCATTTTTCTATATATTTTAATAAGATTTAGAATTCTTATTTTCTTTTTTTTATAAAACACTTCCTTTATTTATACCTATTTTCTATTCATTTTATTATATTTCTTCTTCAAATTCTTCTTCATATTCGTCTACATATTCTTTTTCATATTCATATTTTTCTTCTTTATTTATTATATGTTATTAAGATTAATGTTTTTTAATATTTTCGTTATTATTTTAATAATTTAAGACTTATAAACTTTTAGTTTTATTTTATTAATTTTTATTATCTTTTTTATAAATATAATATTTATATAATTTTTTTTTTTATTTTTTTACCTTTTTTTTTATTATTATTATTTTCTTAAATTTTATCTTCTTCTTCATATTCTTAATTTGATTCGTAATTTTTTGATAAACTTTCTTCTTATTCTTATGCGAAATCTTATTCATATTCATCTTCTTGTTCTTCTTCTTTTTTTTGGTTTTATATTTAGTATTCCTCTTCTTATACTTCTTCTTCTTATTCGAAAGTATTATCATTATATTATTCATGTTAAAAAGATTAATTTGATTAAAAATTTTCATTTTAAAATTTATAATTATTATCTTCTTCTGTATTTTTATTTTTAACTAAAGGACTACTAGTTTTTTTATATTTTTTTTAAATAGAAACAGGATTTTTTAATTATTTTTTTTCGTTTTCTTATAATGCATATTTTTTTTTCGGTTCTAAATATTTCGCTTTTATTTCTCTTTTTTTAACATTTTATTCCATTTACTGTTCTTAACACTTCATTTATATTTTTTACCTTTATAAAGCATTAATAGCCGATAATTCTATAGGATATTTTTTCCTCAAAACGAATATTTTTTCATTTTAAATTCTTATTTTATCAACTAATTAGTCTATATTATTATTAAAATCATTTAAAAGCATTTCCATTCCTTCTTTTTCTGAAATTTAATATATAAATTATTTTCCATTATTAACATTATCAGCAATTATATATATATATATATATATATATATATATATATATATATATATATATATATATATATATATATATATTTTTTGATACTCATTTTATGTACTAATTTCTATATAAAAACATTCTTCTTTTAATTTTAAGTTTCTTTTTGTTAAAATATTTATTTTTTATTTCAAAGGAGATAATTATATCTTTTAAATTGATATTTTTTTTATATTTTCAGTCTTTTGGGGATACTCACTAATTAAAGATTTATATTTTATTACTTTTTTATAATTTTCTTGTAGTTTTTTATAGTTAAATACACTTTTTACACAATTAAGTCTTTTATAAAGTAATAAATTCTCATTATCGAGTATTTATTGTCTTCTTATTTCTTTATTTTCATATTTTTAGATAGGAAAAATACTTTATTTTTAATTTCTACTGTATATATTTAATGTAGATACATTTGTTTACCCTTTTTCTATAGATACTAGTTTTTTAAGGATTTTATCGTTTTATTTTTTATTTAATTTTATGATTTATTATGCTTTATTAATGAAGTATTTAATGATTAGCTATCTGATTTTTCAATGTTTTTTTATGATTTCATATTGCTTTTACAAATCGAACGTGTTTTTATTTCTTATAAATGCTATTAATGTATCTTTGTTTTATATTAGAATTCTATTTTTGATATTATTTTATTTGGTCCAGTAAACATATTTATATGTGTATTTATAAATATATATATTTATATGTATATTAGTATTTTTTTTTTTTTAAAATTAGTTATATTTTTTTATATATAATGATTTTTTAAAAAATATAAAATATTAAAATGTATTATATTTAACACAAAATAATTTATTTATTTTATAAAATTAATAATGGAAATATTTAATTATATAATATATTTATTTATAAAACTTTTTTATATAATATTAATATATGATAAATTTACTTAAATTAAATGTTTGTTTTATAAATAAAAAAAACTATTATTAATTATATGAAAAATATAATAAATATATTAATAAAAAAAATATATTATTTTAATATTATTATTATTATTATTATTATTATTATTATTATTATTATTATTATTATTATTACTATTATTATGTTTATTATTATTATTATTATTTATTTAATTAATTAAATTCAAAAAATTTGAATATATTTAATAATTTAAATATTCATGATTATTTATAAAATCTTTTTTGTTTTATAAAGATTTTAAATATTTTTAAATATATTTTATTATTTATTTTTATATATTATTATATAAATTTATATATATTTTATAAATTATTAATTTATAAGTTTTTAAATTTATATTTTTTTTATATAAAATATAATCTATATACAATAATAATTTAATTATATATTTAAGTTAAAATAAAAATAATTATTAAACTAAATTAAATTATATTTTTTGTTTTATATTTATATTTTAATTTTCTTTTTTATTTTATTATCTTAATACAAATTTAAATAGATATATATTACTAAAAATAAATAAAATTTTTAATTATGATTAACAAAAATAATAATTATTGAAAAAATTATTAAACATATAATAACAACTTTTTGATTTCTATAAATAAAAAAATAATTATTTTAGAAAAATTATAAATATATATAATAATATTTGTATTTATAGTATATAAAAAATTAAAATTATAAATAAATAAAATTTAGAAATTTATTATATTTATGAATATATAAATTAATATTAATAATTGAATAATATTTATTTTTTAAATTTTTAATTATATAAATTATTATAATTTATATACATTAAATTACAAATTTTATAATATTTTTATTTTAAAACATGAAAAATATTTTTATCAACTAAAATATTTTTAAAATGAAATCAAAAAAATAATATTAAAATTCATTTATCACTTATTATAATTTCCTTGTTATATTGTAAATAATATATATTTATATATAGATTTATATATATTTATTAATATTTTTTTTTATTTATTTATACTAATTCTCCATATTTTACAGGTATTTTTTATTAAATTTCTTATTATTTTTTTATTTATATTTATTTTAACAATTTTTAAATTTTTTATTGTTTAATTTTTTGATAATTATTTTAACATAAATTTAGTTCATCTTTTACAGCATTTTCTAAAGCTTTTTTTTTTGTTATTTCCTTTTCTTCTTATATAAGTACATTTTTTATTAAATATTTTTTATCAAATAAAAATTATTATTTATTATTATACATAAAATATTTTAAATCAATTTAATTAAAAACTTTTATTTTTATTAAAATAAATAATATTTTTAAATAATTTGCCTTGTTTAAAATCATTAGCATCAATATAATATACCCATGTATAACTTTATATTTTATTTTTTCGGTTCGTCTCTCGTTTTCACATAAAATATCAAAATGACCTACAATATCACCATCTTTATATTCAAAATTACATTTTATTTATCTATTTTAAATATGTTTTTCTCTTTAAATGTTGCCTTATTTATTTTTAATAGGCCATTAATTTTAATTTTATAAATCTATATTTAAGTTTTTAATTAAATGTCCAGTTTTAACTATATACACATTATTCAAAAGATCATCTATATCATATAAAACATCATCTTTTATAAGAAATTATATTTTAACAAAAGAACATAATTTCTCAATTTTATCTTTATGAAAGATTTTAAGTAAATTTAAATTCTAAATAAAATTTTTCATTTATAATTTTTCATTTATTTAAGTTTTCTAATTTTTATAATAAAAATAAAATAAAAACAATAAATAAATATATATTTTATTTTTATATATATAAATATATTTTTATTTATAATTATTAATATTTATATATATATATTTTAAATTTATATTATATAACAATAATTACTTATATACATTAATCAAAATCTTTGAAATTAATATATAGTATTTTCGAGTTTTCTTCGGTTTAGAAAATTTTATTTCTTTTGATTTTATTTTTTATATCAATAAATATATTTATTTATTTTTTTTACTAATTTTTAATTGCATTTTCTTAATTTTTTAAATAATAAACATCGCCTGTAAAATAAGTTTTTTAATTTTAATCTTTTATT